ATTAATTTTGGGTGTGATTTATAGGCCACCAAACCTTGATAGGGAGTGCAGTAAGCTGTTATGGGACGAAATTCATAAGGCATCTAGATATGAAAATGTTGTGATAATGGGTTATTTTAACTTTAGACAAATTGATTGGAACAATATGACAGGAAATCTTGAGTCTAGTGACTTTCTTGATACGGTTCAGGATTGCTTTTTAGAACAGGTTGTGACAGAACCAACTAGAGGAAACAATATGCTTGACTTGGTTCTTGCCAACAAAAATTCACTAATTAATAATCTTGAGGTTAATGATGAGCTTGGGGAAAGTGATCACAAATCACTTAGTTTCAATATATCATGGAATTACCCAGATAACTGCAATCAAATCTCTGTCCCAGATTTTCGCTTGGCCGACTTCATGGGACTGAAAAATTACTTGGGTTGGCTAAATTAGGATGTCCTGAGTATGGGTCAGGTAGGTGATCTTGGTTGCCAGTATGACGTTCTTCAGAGCATAGTTCTAGCTGCCCAGATAACTTTTGTTCCGAGTAGGAAAATTAGATCTAACAAAAATGATCCCAAATGGATGAACAATAGATTAAAACATCTCATTGGTCAAAAGAGAGGCATATATAGGCCTATCAAAAGAGGGGATGAGCAGTTAAGAAATCAATATATTCAATTAAAGAGAGAAATAGAGAAACTAAAACCTAACAAATCCCCAGGCCCTGAGAACTGTTTGCAAGGGTGTTAAAGGAATGTAAAGAGGAACTTAGCATACCTTTGGCCAATCTTTTTAACATATCACTACAAACTAGCGTAGTGAACATTAAAATGGTATAAAATACCGACAGATTGTTAGGTAAGACACATATGCAACAGTTAGGTATCTTTATTTCGAAACGTTTCGCCTACACAGTAGGCTTCTTCAGTCGAGTACAGAAAAGTTGATAGAAGCAGAAGATACTTGAAGACGATGTAATCAGTCCATCACCCTTAAAGTTTTGAGGTGGTCAGTCCCTCAGTCTGGAGAAGAGCATTGTTCCGTTGTCTGAAACAATATGAAGTTGAAGTGACAGGATGGAGCCTTTATATAGTGCCAGGAGGTGAGACGTAGGTTGCTTTGGGAGAGCAGGTCCCTCTCAAACCCAGCCGTTCTCACTAGTAGAGGTCGAAGTTGATGGTCTGTACCAAGATACCCTTGTGTTGCAGCCTTGTGTGAAGCCTACTGTGTAGGCGAAACGTTTCGAAATAAAGATACCTAACTGTTGCATATGTGTCTTACCTAACAATCTGTCGGTATTTTATACCATTTTAATGTTCATTCTGTCAGACACTGCAACACAAGGGTATCTTGGTACAGACCATCAACTTCGACCTCTACTAGTGAGAACGGCTGGGTTTGAGAGGGACCTGCTCTCCCAAAGCAACCTACGTCTCACCTCCTGGCACTATATAAAGGCTCCATCCTGTCACTTCAACTTCATATTGTTTCAGACAACGGAACAATGCTCTTCTCCAGACTGAGGGACTGACCACCTCAAAACTTTAAGGGTGATGGACTGATTACATCGTCTTCAAGTATCTTCTGCTTCTATCAACTTTTCTGTACTCGACTGAAGAAGCCTACTGTGTAGGCGAAACGTTTCGAAATAAAGATACCTAACTGTTGCATATGTGTCTTACCTAACAAACTAGCGTAGTACCTGATAAGTGGAAAATGACAAATGTAATACCTATTTACAAGGCAGGTGACAGGTCCTTGGCTTCGAACTATAGACCAATAAGCCTTACCTCCATAGTGGGAAAATTTATGGAATCAACAGCCGAAGCAATTCTTAGCCATCTTGATAGGCACAGATTGATTAATGAATCTCAACACGGTTTTACAAAGGGGCGTTCCTGTCTTACGAATTTACTAACTTTTATCAATAAGGTGTTTGAGGAGGTTGATCATGGTAATGAATATGATATTGTGTATATGGACTTCAGTAAGGCTTTCGACAGAGTTCCACACCAGAGGCTATTGAGGAAACTTAAGGTTCACGGAATACGAGGAGAAATTTTTTCCTTGGTAGAGGCATGGCTGAAAAATAGGCAGCATAGAGTTTGCATAAATGGGGAGAAATCAGAAAGGGGGCACGTCACAAGCGGTGCTCCTCAGGGGTCAGTGTTGGGTCCGTTGTTGTTCACAATTTACATAAACGACATAGATGAGGGAATAAATAGCGACATAAGCAAATTTGCTGATGACACCAAAACAGGCCGTCCAATTCATTCTAATGAGGACACTAAAGCACTCCAGGATGATTTGAATAGACTGATGCAATTGTCGGAGAAGTGGCAGATGCAGTTTAATATTGACAAATGCAAAGTTCTAAATGTTGGACAGTTAAATAACCATGCCACATATATACTAAATAATGTAGATATTAATACTACTAATTGCGAAAATGATTTAGGAGTTCTGGTTAGTAGTAATCTAAAACCAAGACAACAGTGCATTAGTGTTCGCAATAAAGCTAACAGAATTCTTGGCTTCATATCTAGAAGTATAAATAATAGAAGTTCTCACGTGTTTCTTCAACTCTATATATCCTTGGTTAGGTCTCATTTAGTCTATGCTGCTCAGTTCTGGTCACCGTATTACAGAATGGATATAAATGCTCTGGAAAACGTACAGAGGAGGATGACAAAGGTGATCCCATGTATCAGAAATCTTCCCTATGAGGATAGACAGAGTGCCCTGAATCTGCACTCTCTAGAAAGGCGTAGAATTAGGTGGGATATGATCGAGGTGTATAAATGGAAAACAGGAATAAATAAAGAGGATGTAAATAGCGTGCTGAAAATTTCCAGCCAAGACAGGACTCGCAGCAATGGTTTCAAGTTGGAAAAATTCAGATTCAGGAAGGATATAGGAAAGTACTGGTTTGGTAATAGAGTTGTGGATGAGTGGAACAAACTCCCGAGTACAGTTATTGAGGCTAAAACGTTGTGTAGTTTTAAAAATAGGTTAGATAAATACATGAGTGGGTGTGGGTGGATGTGAGTTGGACCTGACTAGCTTGTGCTGCTGGGTCTGGTGCCTTGCTCCATCCTTGAGTGGAGGTGACCAGACTGTGTGGGTCATTGGGCTAATCCGGGGGGGGGGGGGGGTCATTGGGCTAATCCGATGGGGACATGGATCTGCTCCGCATGGGTCAGTAGGCCTGTTGCAGTGTTCCTTCTTTCTTATGTTCTCATGTTCTTATTTCCAATGTGAACCTACTCTGCTAAGCTTATGGGTTACCATCTTTATTGTAGAATATATCGTCAATAATATTTTGAGTCCAGTCAGAAGAAACATTCTACAGTTTCTGAAAAATTAACGATTATCGCTATTCATTAAATAAAATTGGAAAATATGGAGTTAGACCACTCAATGACAGGGTGAACACCGTGTACAAGACACCACACCGGTACATCTAATGGCACTGTGAACACTGTGCTCAAGACACCACACCAGTACACGCAATGGCAGGGTGAACCTTGTGTTCAGGACACCACACCAGTACATGCAATGGCAGGGTGAACCTTGTGTTCAGGACACCACACCAGTACACGCAATGGCAGGGTGAACCTTGTGTTCAGGACACCACACCAGTACACACAATGGCAGGGTGAACCTTGTGTTCAGGACACCACACCAGTACACGCAATGGCAGGGTGAACCTTGTGTTCAGGACACCACACCAGTACACGCAATGGCAGGGTGAACCTTGTGTTCAGGACACCACACCAGTACACACAATGGCAGGGTGAACCTTGTGTTCAGGACACCACACCAGTACATGCAATGGCAGGGTGAACCTTGTGTTCAGGACACCACACCAGTACACACAATGGCAGAGTAAAAACTGTTCAGTACACCACACCAGTTGTGAAAACTGGAAGCCGATCATCTGAGTCATTGTTAGGTTATGGCACGGATTCCAAGAATTCGATTTTTTAGTATTTTCCTACATCCACATTTTTTTCCTGCATGCAAAGAAAAGTAGAGAGATGCTGGTCCTGAGATGAATCAGGCGATAAATACTGAAGATATTCAGAAGAGATAAACTAAAAATTATTTGTACTGGTTTAATAGTAATATTTTTTTCACACTATTTTACGCAGTTCTAATCTGCTCCTACACTCTTGAATTTCACTCTCCGCTGTCGTCGATATTTCTAACCACCTCTGAGCGTTTGAAGCAACACCATTAAGGATATGTCAAGTTATTCAATCCATTCCAGGTGGGTGTAAATCGGTTCAACAATTTTGGTCATGGGGTACATGAACATTACAATTGCTCCACTAATTTAGTCTATGTTATCGTACACAAGTGTTGAAAAAATGAAGCCAATTGGATAAGGCGTTCTCGAGTTATGAGGAAAAAAAGATAAAAAAGAATAGGATAAAATCAGACAACCTCTGATAGTCCCCCCTTAGAGAATCCTAAATATAATACAAGAATTTGACTAGGAAACAGCCAAGCGATGGGCAGTGTTTTAAACAAGTTGGCAATTTGCTAACAGAGGATCAGATGTGCACTGTCTTGATCTATCTTGCTAGAGACAACCGTTCCAAACAACTCGCAATTCGGTTGCTTTATATTTAATGTATAGTTAGAGTGACATAGATTTGTATCTCAACAGACCTCTGCTGCGGTGTTGTTACCTGGTCACTTGCGGCCCAAATAAATTGTTAAGGACGAACTTACCTTTAGCCCGAATCTTTACATTTTTCATTTACAATTCTTATTCTTGTTTGGCCCTTATTTTTCGGAGCGTTTCAATTATTCTGCCCAGGACGTGTATTCTAAATCTAATGTCTCGTATATCTGCGCAAGGAATATAATAAAATCTCTCTTTACGCAAATAGGCATATTTTCCTATGTGGTCAAGGAAGACGAAGCTAGATATACTATCTCTACCAGGCAGAAGCGTCACAGCACTGTGATAAACACTGAGTGAAGCAAACAGATGTCTCACCTTCAGCTTGCGTCCCTCAGTTTCATAAACTTCCATAATAAAACTCTGAGGAAGGCCACCGTCGAACCCCTCCTCGCATCGAACCTGGACAGCATCGGCACTGTCGTTAAGCACGATGCAGTTCCTTAAGGCATCTGGAGGTCCTGTAAGAATCACATGAGTATATTTTCAGAGGGGTGAAGTAGAGTGGTGTTATGGACAAAAAGGTAATGGATGATGAGGAGATGGAAGAGATGGACGAGGAAAATGAGGAAGACGAAAAAGATAGAAAAACACAAATATAGCATATACTCTTTATTAGCAATGTTTCGTCAACACAGTAGGAATTTCCAAGACATACGAAAATATGCTCCACTTGCTACATTTTTCTAAAGGATTGGTATTTGAGATATATTATTGCACCCACGAACAAGTGGTATTGATCAATAAAAACACTGCGACTAGCCAAGGACTCGAACCCATGCTGTTTTTGACTGCCTCGTGGTGGGCTCTCCAGTCCTTGCTTAGGCACAGTGTTGTTATTTATCAGTACCACTTGTTTGTGGTCACAATAATATAAAATACTGCTCGTTGTACTAGTACACCAAACAGGGACTAGAATGATATTAGCCTAGAGTATCCACACCAACGTATGTTCTTGGGTAGCGGGTACAACATCCAGCTCCGCTGGATGCTCTACTCTTAAGGATTGTATGGTCCCGTGGATTAAGGTGTTATGAGTTTTCGCCCACCATGAGGCAGGCCAAAGCAGCATGGGTTCGAGTCCTTGGCTAGTCGCAGTGTTGTAAAATTTTCTCTTATACGTTTTAAGTTATATTTTTTTTATTAATGTTAATGAAATTTTTTTATAATTTTTCATCAAAAGAATCTTAGAAAACTTACCTAACCTTATAACAAGAACAATTTATTTTAGCCTAACCCAACTAATATATTTTAGATTTGTTTACTATAATTTAATACTAAACGAACACAGTGAAATATATTTTTTTCGTTAAGTTCAGAATGATTTTGGCGAAATTATTGAATACACAAATTTTAGCTTGTCCTATATGGCAAGATGAGCGTTGCTATTTAAGCCAAGATCGCAAGTTCTACCTATTCGGCACGACATATATATATATATATATATATATATATATTATATATATATATATATATATATATATATATATATATATATATATATATATATATATATTATATTTATATATGTCGTACCGTAAATTTGTGTATACAATAATATCGCCAACATCATTCAGATCAGATCAGAGGACTCACAGGTAAGGACCTACAAGGGGCGAGGGGCAAGTGGGGACAGGGCGAAGAATAGACGGTGAGAGGAATGTCTTGAGCCGAAGAGAGAAGAGTCAGGACTAGACCCAACTGCTAAGCCTGAATAAACACTGACGAAGACGATGTAGAAGGCAACAGGAACTCTGCAGGTGCTGACTGCATCTTGCTGGATGGATGATAACCGACTTGATGGTGATTGGTGGCTGCAGGCGACAAGGGAGGAGCTCATCGTTGATTGGTCAGTTCATAGAGGTTGGTGGTTACCTGGAGTCGTGGCGTTGTTTTACGATGTGTATTGAAAATTTGAATTCAGTTCCGTTTTCAAGACGTTTAAAACGTTGTAGAGGGAGCAAATTTATACGTGTCAGCAAGTGGTGTTGGCTGGAATTTTTTCTTCTAGTTGTTCTTCAATGGTCTGTAGAATAGTAGAAAGTTCAATTTTACGAAGAGCTCTAGCTGTGCAGGAAGAATCGATGGTAAACTTGACTTTCTTTTGGATGAGGTGAGAATAAAGTTCAGGAAACAGCATGTCTTGTTGATACTTTTCTGTGGTGTAGAAGTTGATTCCATTCCATGAAGCATATTTTTCAGTATCTTCTTCGTTATCATGTTGAGAGTCGTGAGATGGTGATTTTGGTGCTGGTTTTTCTTTCTTGTACTTGATAAGTGAATTCGTTGTTTCGAAGAATAGGAAGGTGGGGCAAGCTTACGTTTGATGGTGGTGGTGGGAGGCTCTATTGGCGTTGTTGAGTGACTCACTAGTTTTGGTGGTGTTGAGTACTGAGCAGAGGGTTGATAAGTCTTGGTGATTTAGAATGTCTTCAGAAGGTGGAGATGCCAGAATCAATGATGATGTTATTAATGCAAATACTCGTTGATGTGAGTTAAAAGATCCAGGTCAGCCATGTTCTGTATGTGAGCGTATATAGACAATAGTGGATCTCATTACGTCATTGTTGAGGGTGATGTGGTGTGGAGGCGACTTGATTAGATACTGAAGTAATTTTGTAGTATCAGCTAGAATTTGAATGCGCATACGTTGGTGTGTTGTTAGAGATTTTTTCTTTGCTGCTCTGTATTTCTTCAATATCCTTCTTGTAGGACATTTTGCTGCCAGTGATGGTGATCATTTCTTGGTTAAACCGCTGGTTGTGGTGGAGCAGCAGCGTCAGAACTGAAGGTGTGCCCTCACTACACAGTAGTGCAGACTTCTTGTCTTTTGATGGACATGTCTTGGTGGTGTGAAGATAAGAATAACAGTTCCAGCATGTTGGATGTAGTGGTATCTCTCTGCTTCTATGTAGGTGGGAGATGTGAGTAGTAACAGCAAGCTCGTTCAGAGCTGCAGCCTGTTCCATCGGTGAAGGTGACCTGGAGCAAGACATGCATTGGGATTTTTTTAATGCTGTAACAGTAGCCAAGTATTTTGAGTTTCAATAGATGACTTGAGTTCAGCGATTGGTTGAGAAGTCAAAATCTTATCCAGTTTTTTTCAGGAATACTGATTTCCTTGCTCTGAGGGCAGAGAATTGTAGATCAGTAAACCTTGAGCAGTAGGTAGTAGTGGTTGGTTTCTTTGCTGAGTAACTTCCTCTTCAGATCTTCGTGACCACGAAAATGGAAAGCTTTTTGAGTGATAGAATAGCGTTGAATTTCACATGCAATGCTCCCTGAACGACAGTTGCAAGAGCAAGCTTCGTTGAATTATCAACGGTACCACTTTTTGGCTTGATCTTTACACGATTTGCGTAGCTCATCGTGCAAGTCAAGGCGAAGACAACGGTGGTAAAGGGTTCCCTCCCCAACGGGGATCGTAGGGAGACTGAGTAAGTAAGTAAGGAGAGCTGCTATGACCTGCCGAGGAGACAGTCGAAAGCAGAATGTGTTCTCTTGAACATCATTCTGAAAAATAACGAAAAAATATATATTTCATTGTGTTTGTTTATTATTGTAAACTTATCTAAAATATATTTAGTTTGATTAGTAGAATTGAGGTTCTTTTGTACAGTTATACATTAATATAAACTCTTATAAATATGGAAATTTAAACTTATTTTAACTATTCTTGCTAATGACACATCGACAAAACACACCCCCCCCCCCCCCCAAAAAAAAAAAAATAACATTAAAAGAGTACAGATATGAAGGAATTTTCACAAACTACTAGAGTTTATAAAGTTAGTAAAAATGAGGGGTGGTTTACATTGACTCAAACTTGACCACAGTTTTACTAAATTATACAGATGCTAGAGGAACAGGCACAAAACAGGAAGGCCCTGCAGGGATCAGAGAATACTAAGACAACAGCGAGCATGTCGTAGGGACCACACGAGGCCACGGGTCAGTCCTGGACCAGTGTATTTTTTATCTGACAAGAATCATCATTGTGAAGTTAAGAAAAATTAATTCAATGGCGGGTTTGCATGATGCTTACACAATGGCTCTAAATTTACCCTGAAAATGCAAGTATGAGATCGAAAAGGCAAAAAAAAGCAGAAAAAAAAAAAATATAAGAAAAGAAAGGAGATAATACATACATCGCCTGAACAAATTAACCAGATAACCATACGGCAAACTGAGAAACCACCAAAACGAAACAACACACCACCAACGAACACACAGAACCACACCAAACACGCAAAAAATTAGAGAAACAAGGCCCTAGTTCCAGAGCTAAGAGGTATGTCCTATGTGATGAGGTTAAGGGAAATCGACCCTGACGACACTGGAGGACAGGAGAGATAGGGGGACATGATAACGACTCCAAAATACTGGGGAAAACAAGGTGGACAAGACAGGATGTTCCAGAGATGGGACACAGAACAAGGGGTCACAGTTGGAAGCTGAAGCACAGATGAGTCAAAGGGATTTAGGAAGATTTCTTCGCAGGCCACAGAGTGTTAGGATGGAGCAGTCTGGCAAGGATGTAGTGGAGGTAGGAACCATACATACTTTAAGAGAGGTATGATAAAGCTCATGGGCAGGGAGAAGTGACCAGTAGCGGTCAGTGGAAGGCGGGGCCAGGACGCTGAGTCCGACCCCTACAACCTAACTTTGGTGAGAAAACCAAAAGGTGAGTTCACACACTCACCATCACATGAGTCCCAAACAAGACAGTTCCACACACTACCCACAAACCGAGGATGACAATAACACAATACCACACCTTGTAGAGCACACTATTCGCTCACCAACGCACAACAACACGACTCGAAACCCTACAGACAACACGCACAGTGGATCGGATAAATAATTAATACACTATCAGATTAATCAAGTAAATATTATCAATAACTATAGTTTATATATAAGTAACTAAGTAAGGATGAGAGAGAAGGGCGGGTTGTTATTTCTGACCTGCCCAAGAGGTTCGACACAAATCCTTCAAGGTTAGTACATGAAGGTAGGATGCTGGTGTCCTTTTTACGGCCAGACATGCAAAATCAGGATTACCTAACAGGACGCTACACAAGGTCCCCTGACCTATGTAGGCATATATGTGGCCTGACTGGGGTGTCATTTCAGGTCTAGTCCTGACCTAGTTTATTTCCGTATCTCATGAAGTGAACAGAAGTCTTGACTCCGGTAAGTCCTGTTTGTCTGTGAGGACTAAAATGACGGAATAAATCAGGATAGACAGACAGTTCTAAATACCTAAATGTAAATGCGAGGTAACTATCGTGTTCCTTTGGGACACCCTGGCAATACAAGGTCATTGAAGAAAGAAAGGAAATGATAATACCCATACAAGTAATAGTTGAGCCATATTAATACCTCTAAGGAAAAAACTAGGTGTCTCCATCAATAGCAGAGTGACCGCCAGAAAGAAGCATTAACATTAACCTCGTCA